GTATCGGTGCATCCCTACTTTGAGGTTAAACCCTGTACACATTCATAAAGGTTTTACTTACTTGTCTTCTATACTGGACATCATACACCACTAGTAGTGCAGGAAAAATGTGTATTCATCAGCTGGTTGGTGAGGTCGGTTCCTGGAAGTTGCTGGCTGAGGAACAAGGAAACCGGTCACAGAAAGAGCAGCGCATCAAAGCTACTACTACGACTAATTAAAAAAATAGTTATAATAATCAGGGATTTCCAAAAGTTATTGTGTTTTATCCTCCAGCGACCATGGATAAATAAAGTCGTAAAAATGTATGTGTTCCTAAAGTGATATATTTGCAACCTATTTCAAAATCCCCCTAAGCCCAAAGGTCACGTACTTTGCACCATGACGATTGTTTATCCCTTGTTTGCATTTTACTTTAACTGCAACCGTCTCACCCCCATCTGCATCTAAAGGTCATAGCTATGTTTATCAGCTTTTCTTAGTTCTGACAATTTGTAAACCTCTTGAAACTGGTCTGGTGTGAAAATGAGATCTTTCCTTCCTTAGCTTAGTGTTTACTTAAGAAAAAGGAAGCTGGGCGATGGCATTAGCCTGCCATCTGGACAGGTGGTTGAGCTCAAGTGGATGGCACCCAGGAGTCAGTTCCGTCTCTGAGGGTATTAATAAGTCCCTCCACTAAGGCTGTTCAGGGTGCATTCAACAATTAACCTAAATTAAATTAAAGACATTTAAAGGCATTGCATGGTGACAGATTTCCAAAGAGGGGCAGTGATTACACATGATGTTTTTCTTTCTCTGTGCACCTGCCTTAAAAAAAGATTTCGCTTTCAAAGCCACTTCTTTGTCTTTTTCAAAAGTGTTTTTTAAAAGCATAAAGTCTGTGCAGACTTCCTGTGCATAAAGGAACATCTGATTAGTATTCTAACAAATGAAAGAAGGACTTTCTTCTCTGCTCAAAATACGAGACCCTCACTCAATCGATTACAAAAACATGAAGCTTTAACCGCTGGCTTACCTAATTGGCAAGATGGAAAAGCCATTCACTCGGGAGCAGACACTGACACCTAAAACCTTGACTTGCACTTTCTAAAAGTAGACTTTGAGAAAGATCTGTGGCCTCTGCTTGTCACCATGTGCCACTTGCGCCAAAACACCCTCAAAGAAAAGAGGGGAGCCAGCGTTGCCTATCCTGTTTTATAAGCTATTTATGCACGCAGGGGTAGAGATGATTCCGTTTTGTCTGGCGGTAATCACTGGCATTTGTTAACAGTAAAGAATCACATTGTTCTAATTGCTGCTACCGTATGTAGATCATTCGTGTCATTCATGATTTGGGTTTTTGGCAGGACAATTTGTTTTTCCCGCACTGCTCAACAACTTACATAAGGCTTGGTTATGCCCCAAACTAATTGGGTTGAATGTTAAATGTTGATTCACGGACCAAGGAAAAATATAATAATTGGACCTCCTGCTAAATGTTAGTTTAAGGGTGGATGTCTTTGACCACAGGATTTCTGGCAGGATCTGTGCTATTGTTCTGTGAATTAGCATTAAACTGGAACTGACGGTGGGAAATCCACTGTTTAGAATGACGGATGAACATATCTAAAATTGATTTATTGTACACACAACTTGAATTCTTGAAACAACTGTCTAGTAACTGAAAATAAGGAACTTTATATTAAAGGTCCTTTAAGGTTTAGCAAAGAAATTAACTCTGTAACCTCTGCTGTCCCTTGGAGGAGAGTCTTCTCCAGTCTCTAACACTGTATCTTCATCACCTCACAAACCATGGAGCCGTACTAATACGTCTTGTGAATTTTAATCTGGCTGAGAACTGCACCCAGACTTTAAAAAGTGCCACATGAATCTGAGTGTTTAAAGTGCGGGTGTAAACGGAGATGGTGAGTTCGGTGGCCGGCTTGGAGGGACTCTGAATGTCTCCATTCAGCTGCACCTGTCTAACTGCACTAAAGGAGCCGGGACTGGGGCCCCAAGGTGGAGCTCAGCCAAGTGGCAGCAAGAGAGGAAGGTAAGGAAACGGAGCTCAGCCGAGGTTGGGCTGAATGTGAGTCCCCTGAGAATCTCGTCCACCGCATACTCGCCAAGGTTATAAATAACTTTTATTAGGTTTACGTGGAATTAGCGCAGATGTTATTTGTCGGTATCTGCTCACAGATATAGACCTAGACCTGCTGGCATGGGGAGAAGAAAGAGGGTAAAGGGTTAATATCAGGGCTTAGCATAAGATTACATGTGTGCAAGAAGACAGAATAAATTTGAAGTCTGAAATTAAAAATGTGTTCATTTTACATATTTATTATTGTTATGTTTATTTGTGGTTTTGAAGCATGCCCCAGTATCCCTGGCATGTAAAAAAACAAACAAACAAACAAACAAAAAACATAATCGATTGACCACTATCCTAAAATGATGTCGTTTTATCTTTTGCTCCAAAACAGCCCTGACCTATTGAGGCATGGTGTCCACTTGACCCTTGGAGTTGATGTGCGTGGTATCTTGTATCTTGCACCTTTAAGCGCTGTAAGTTGCGATTTGGGGCCTCCATAGATTGGACTATGGGTTGAACTATAGGAAATCTGGATCACAAAGTCATTGTTGTGGTCTTCAAACCATTCTTGAACCATTTTTGCTTTGTGTCAGGGTGCATTATCCTGCTGAAAGAAGAATGCAATATCGTTTCCATGAAAGGTTGTAATCAAAGTCTGCAACGATGCTGAGGTAGGTGGAACGTGTCAAAGCAACATCCACATAGATGGCATGACGCAAGGTTTTCTAGAAGAGTATCACACTGCCACCGTTTCCATAGTGCATCCTGGTGCCGTGTATCGCCCAGGTATGCAATGCACCCATAACTGGCTGATCATGTGATGCAACTACATGAACCCTACCAAAGCATTTCATAATGTGATTTGTTAGTCCACACCCCCTTATTCCATTGCTTTAGGTCCAGTTGATGCTCACATTGTAGGTGTTTTCGGGTCAGTATGGGCTCCATGTCCACTTACCTGTCACTAGTTCACTGCTGTTGCTTCCTTGGACCACTTTTCATAGATACTGATCACTACAGACCAGAAACACCCCAGAAGCACTGCAATTTTCCATCACAAGTTGGACAAGTCTTCCTGCTTCTTCTTTGAGGACAAAGGCTGTTTCCCAATTCAGGGTCTGCAGCCTT